ACAATATCACTGAATATACCATGCTGTGAACATGGTATTGTTGTTCTTAGGTGCCCTGAAGTTGGTGCCAACTCAGGAAAGACCACTTGTCTGTCAGTTTGTAGTGGCTTGTGTGTTGCTCTAATTCTGGAAGCTGTATCACTAGTATTTCAAATACCAGTCAGATCACCCAATATGAACAGGTTTCAATAGAGTGCCCAGACTAGGATAAAACGATGAAGAAAGAATAAGCTGTCCACTTGTGAGGAATTAGCCGCTGGAAACCTTATGAAAAGCCATGGGACACCATCAGATACTAAAAATAAGCATGGAATATTCTTCTACTTACACAGCTCTTTTATCTTCTTATAGTAGTGTTTTATGTTTTTATTTTGTACCTACCTATTGTTTCTCTAGGAGCCCTAGAGGCCTAGTGGCTATGCATTGGGCTGCTACCTGCAAGGTTAGCAGTTTGCAAGCACCAGCCACTCTTTGGGAGAAAACCTGGGCTTTCTACTCCAACACGGAATTACCGTCTCAGTAGCCCACAGAGGTATTTCTCCCTGCTCTCTAGGGTGGCTATGAGTCAGCACTGACCTCATGGCAGTGAGTTATTGGTACTTTGATTTGATTTTTTCCTAATTATTTCATTATATTCTTTGGTGGCTATTATAAATTGTATTGTTTTCTTCTTCACATCTTTCTTTGTTACGATAAAGGAACCCAACTGGTTTGGTGGGGTGGGCGCTGATCTTGGACCCTGTCACTTTGATGAAGGTTTGACTTAATTTCAATACTTTTCCTTCCAAAATGTGGGATACTTTATGTGTAGGATTTTATCATCTGCAAAAAGAGGAAGCATTTCCTCTTCTTTGTCAATTTGGATGTGTTTAATTCCACTTCTTGCCTTCTCAGTCTGGCTGAGATTTACAGCACAATATTGAATAGGACTGATGGTAGAGCATCCTTGTCTCGTGTCTGTCCATAAGGGAGAGACTTTTAATCAATCTCCGTTGACATTAATGTTAGCTGTTGGTCTTTTATATGTATGCCCTTTATTATATTGAGTAATTTTCTTTCTATTCCTATTGGGTTGGATGTTTTTGACATTGGATTCTGTCAAATGTCAACATGATCATGTGGTTCTTTTCCTTTGTTTCATTTACGTGATGATTGTTTTTGTAATGTTGAGCTATCCTGTGTACCAGACATATCTCGCAACTGGTAATGCTCTGTTGTTTGATATATTGTTGGATTCTATTGGCTAGACTTTCTCAAGTATGTTTGCATCTGTATTCATGAAGGATCTGTATACATGATTTTCTTTTTAAATCACGCCTTTGCCTGGTCTAGGTGTTGGGGTTATGTTCACTTCATGAAGCAGATTTGGATCATTTCCATCCTTTTCTAGACTCTTCTCTGAACAGTTGGCAGAATTCACCAGGAAAGATGGCTAAAGTCAGATTTTTGTTATTGTTGTTGTGAGTTTTTTAATGATCAATTTTTTCTTTCATTGTGGGTCTCCTCAGATTTTCTACTTCAGTTCATGTTACTTTAGACCTGCCATATAGAATTTTTATGACTTTTATAAAACATATCTTAGTATCCGGTAGGTTAGCACCCACCTAGTAATGTTTTTGTTAACATGAGGCTTTTTCAAAAAGTTTGAAATGCTTGTATTAATAAAATAAACTATGTATAGATTCCCAAAAATATTTACACCAAAATAAACTTGTACTAACTTATTATAAATATCTGATCAGGGTCTAGTTTGAAGCACTAAGAAGGATATCACTTCAAAAAGAGCCCATATCAAACCAACATAACTTCTACTAAAATTGAGGCACCCATTTTCTTCAATTAATGTAAAAAAAAAAGAGAGACTGCATTGACACAGGTACATTTCCAGGATCCTCAATTCTTTAGGAACAGAATAAATGGCTGGTATCATGGCTCACAGAAGTATTTTGATACTGATGAAGCTTATGCTGAAGACTACATTGTATATTATTTATCTTTGTGTATTTTAATACCATTTTCATTTCCCTCATATATGTGCACATACAGTTATATATGAAAAGACTTTCAAAATTTGTGGAAAAATCCCATTGTCTTTGAATCCTTTATTCTGCAAACTTTTTTATTAATCCCCTCTGTGTTTGTATGTGTTTGTGCATGTACAGAAAAATCTGAATTGCATGATTTTCAGATACATTTGACATATCTGAACACATCATTCTGAAATTTTAAATCTTTGCTCTATAATATAGACTGGCAGTGTTTCAAAGTTACTCTAAGTCATTATTTGAGTTGATCATAACACTCCCATTCTGTGTATAGCATATATCTTTCATATTTTAATGAACTTGTCAGTTCAGCAATTATTTTACAATATAATTTTAACCAATTGGTTGGTGCTGGGTCATATTTTTCTATATTGTTTTTCTATAGATAAATGCTTTATATATCCCTCTTCTGATGTCAAAGATCTCTTCCCTACCTTACAGGAAATTTGCTGTGTCCTGTGAGGTTGAGATCCTTAAGTATATTATTTTGAAGGTAAAGTCGCTCTGTAGTGCAGTTTCAGAATCCACCATCCATCTGTTTCTAGCACTAAATTCCACATAATTATAACCCTGGTGCCTGTTCATCTATTTGGTAAAATAAGGCCTGAATAAGATTGTTCCAAATTCTCAATTCCATATCCTGTGAAAATCCTGAAAAGTCCCTGGAGCTTATGTTACTATTTTTAACTATCTTGATTCTGCACTCTGTCATTCCGGACATATGTCTGGTTAAACTGTGCTTAACTACAAGCACCTTTTAATCACTGCACATATCCACTTTCAGTTATATTTTTATATAACTATATGGTTAATATTTCTCAATCCTCCGTGGATGTGAGCACTTTGAGGAGGTATGGTAAAGAAGTATGTTTGCTCCCACTACATTACTAATGCCAAGGACAGTCCCTGGTGCACAGAAGGTTCTAAAAAAGATCAAATGATAAGGAAGGGGTAACTAAAGACTAGTTGGGGACTATGGGTGGACACTAGAAAAGTTGAAATATAGACTTATAGAAGAGGAACTAAGGTAAACTTAATTGTAGAAGCAGCTGACTCACTAATATCACCATCAGAACATCTAAAATGACTAATTTCTTCTGCGGTCTTTACATATCAACATATTCTAAATTGATCAACATGTTTCATCATCCAAATGCTGGAGACATGTTAAATGTTCCTATCACATCTTTAATTGCATTTGAGCAATCAAAGAATAATTTCATTGCTCTCAGAGTGTCTTATTGATGACATCACACAGGAAGCCCATTTTCAAAAAGTCTTAATTCATTTAATTTTTGTTTGGAAACATTGCATTAGAAAGTTTGTACTAAATTAGTGCGCCAAAAGAAGGTGTGATACAAATGGCAAATGAAATTGGAAGGCATTTTATATGTAAATAGTGTCTTGTTATATTCTTTTAAAAAAATATATTATCTTATAGTATCCGTGATGCCAAGACCATGGTTGGGATGTTTGTTTCCTCAGAATGAATATGCACTGGGTAAAGAAAAAATTGGAAAAAATTACCTTTTGCAAAATTATTTTTCTCATGGTTTTTCTTTTCCCACCTTAAAAACAAAAAAAAACTAAGAGATTCAGAAGAGGAGTAAACCTATACTAGGAAAATCAGGTAGGAAACGTGGAAGAATTCTACTTTATATTAATAAGACTTTTAGCCAACTTTATATCTAATATATTTTCAAGGTTATAGTTTATATTATGTGAACATTACCACATACAATTTTTCCCCAATTCTTTTAAAATGACTTCTCTTTCTGTAATTGATGTTCTGACCTCAGCTTGGCCCTAGATTTCTAGTTTTTAAAATTTTATCCTGGCTCCTGACTTGTGAATATTTATTATAATGAAATGTAATACAATGATGAATGAAGTAAACAAATGAATATAAAATGTATAGTTAGTAATACTCCCTGAAGATCTTAAGACAAATGTCTGCGCACACACTGTGCATGCATACACTCACACTCTGATGACCTGGTAAGATTTTCTTTTATGTGAAAGGTCCGTCAGAGAGTTTTATGTTAGGTTCTTGTTGCCAATTATCCTGTTCTCCCTTCGTGCTCCCTGGGCCTCGGAAAGGCTTCCTCTCTCCTGTCTTTTAACAAACATCTCCAAGAGCTGCATGTTGTCCACTTTTCTTCAGAAGCAATGGATTGTCTTGACTTCTGTTGTCCTGAAAATGATACCTAGTGGAAGTCATTAAATATCATGTGAGGTTTCTATAGCTGGAAATAGCAAGAAGTTATTAAATAACTAAGGAATTTTTTGGTTTTTTTTGATTAATTTAAACCCTTCTTTTTTTTTGTTTTCTTGTTTTTCACTTTTTTGGTTTTTTTTTTCAACAAGGCTTAATAAAGATAATATTGAATTGGGTATTATAAAATATGCACATTTGTCTGAACTTTGCTGTTTATGTGCTCTGTGACCTTGGATAAATCTCCATGGGTAAGGGTCTCTCAGTCTCCCTCATTAACAAATGAAAAGCGGGATTTATAGTGGTGCCTTGGCAGCCCACCTCCTGGTATCATCAGGAGTAGATGGCATATGAGAAAGGATTGTATAAACCATGAAGTTCCGTCTAAAGGTTATTATTGTGAATCACAGTATGTGCTGGGCACTGTCTCACAGCAGTCTTTTGAGGTAGACAGCGTTACTATTCCATTTTGCAGATGAGGAAAGTACGGCTCAGAATATAAAACATCTGAGTGAGGTCACAGTTGGTGAGTGAGCAAGGCAAGATTTGACTCCCAATCTGTCTTATTCTAGGACCAAAGTTCATAATCATACCACTATCTTTGCTTAATTGAACCACAATCACTGGATAGGGTTATGGGTGAACAGATGATAGAGTAGAAATGTTTTCTTCGTTCCTAAATATGTCATGCCAGTAGAATGCCGTGGACTTCTAATTGCCCAAACGTGTTCTTTCCGTAGACTCTGATTGTCTTGGATCCACTCACAGTCACCGAGGAGGAAATGAGACCTTCACTAGAGAAGCGTCTAGAAGCCATTGTCAGCGGGGCAGCGCTGTTGGCGGACTCTTCGTGCACGAGGGATTTCCATCGAGAGCGAATTATTGCAGAATGCAATGCGATTCGCCAGGCTCTACAAGATCTGCTATCAGAATACATGAACAACGTAAGTGACTGATTTTTTCCCCTCCCCATCTTCCTCCTCCTCCTCTTCTTCTTCGTACTTTTGAGTCTGGGCTGAGGTGCTTTGTGTAGGTGAGCTCGGTGGCTTAGCTTCCTAAAGCGTGTCTCTTGGATTCCTAATGAGGAACAGCATTGTGATTGATAGGAGTTTCTAGGGATGGCATCTGAACCTAGCGGTATTCACACACAGTACTTTTGTTTGAGGAAGTATGTGCATAGTAGTTAAAGAAGGGAGTCAAGATTGTGCACAGGAGGCTGTATATAGTTTCATGCCGATTTAAATGGTACAAGAGGACAAAGAGATGAGTATAGGGTTCATGGGGGCAATAGTGAAAATATATGAGCAGTTTGAATTTAGCTATAGCATTGAATAAAAGTCAATTCAGCATGGACTACGGATGGTGTAAAGAGCCAATGCAGATTGCAGCGTTCTTAACCTTTATTAAATGTGACATAAGGTCTTAGATTTTCTGTAGTTTTTGTTTTTTTCTCAGAAATTCTGGAAATGCTACTTAAGTTCGGAAGAAAATGTGTGCTTTAAGTCATTTTGGTATCATTAGAAATTATATCCCCACCAGTCAGCTATGGACAATCTATACATACTCTCCTTATACTTAAGGCTTACTGCCATTGAAAAAGTAGAAGAAAACCTTGAAGTCATTGCGACATATATTTGTATATTGAGCATGAAGACTCCTTAAGCAAAAGTGTGAAATAAAATGAAAAATTTATAATAGGACTATTTTGTTCATCCACTTAATTATTAGTGGCATAATTCAAGATTATGAAGGTACAGTGCGAGAATTTTTATAAAGGGTATGGATTTGAGTATAAAACTGATGACAGGATTGCTCAGTAAAAATGCTTTATGTGAATCATTGAAATGTGCTAAAATTAGTTGGTGATTTTTGCGGCCCCTTCAATTTGATGTAGCTCCATGGTCTTAATATTTGATGGCTTTGGCTTCTGACCAAAAACCTTCTGCCTGTCAAGAAATCAAAAGTGTAAAGCTGATGTTGTTAAAAGGGAATATTAGCAATGCTGCGTCCTGCTTTTGAACTTAGAATATGCCCATTTTAACAAAGAAGACGTTCTTAGTTAAGTACTTTTCAGGGTAATTCAGCTGTCTCATGGAGCTCAAACTGTATTATTGTATTAAAATGTCTTCTCTGATCTGTAAAGTTTTCAAAGTTTTCTCACCTTTAAATTACTATCATACTTAAAATTGCAAGTGATACCTAAAATTGTATAGATGCAATACAAATGCATGCACATGTGTATACGGACCTGTGCACACATAAGAAAGGATCGCTACATCATTTCAGGGCCTTGTGTAATAAAAATCTGGGATCTATTGAAAGGACAAAATGAAGCTTTTCCTTTTTTCGGAGGTCCCACATTTTCTTGACATTAAAATGTTTTTCTTAAATAGGGCATTTAATGATGGGCTCCCGTAGGAATGAAGCACTTGTGGCCTGAATGAAAACCATGGGTTGTACCAGCAGTGTTGTCTCTCAGCTCAGTGCTTGGAGCGCAGATGCCTGCCCTGGGCCTGCTCCGCCCTTGCTAATAGCCTCGTCCTGTGAGGATGGTAGAGAGAGCGGGTCAGGGAGCTGGTGGCCCTCAGGAAGGCAGAGACCCGGTGGCCTGTGTGCAAGTCTAGACTTCAAGTGCTCATCCTTCATGTGCACCGGCTTCACCTACAAAGAATATTTTCAAAGATAAAATTGTTAAGAGTTTCACTGTGGAAGCAGAGTCTGAACCTCTAAGTACAGGGGCCTCTTCTGAGTGTGGAACCCTGTCACATGCCCCTGAAACTGGCCCTTCACATAAACACAGGCCACATAAAAACAAGGGGGATCCTAATGGCTTTTCCCAATTAGGTGTTAAAACCCACACAACAGCTTATTAAGGGTGAAATGATGGGAGCATTTTACCCTTAGTGCATTCATTAAAAAGGAGCATTATCTGTAGAAATGTATATTAAAAAAATAAAACTAACTAAAGGCTAGCCTGCTTTTTATTATCACTTCGTGCCACCAATTCTAAACAGTGACAGTGATAAACTAATTTTTCTCATAAAACTGTTGTTTCTTTTAGTTCTAAAGAGTTGCTGTGGTTACTGCTTAGTTCCATGTAAGATTCAAATTAGTACCTTTTAATGATTATCTTTTAAAAGACATTATATTTTTTATGAGTTTAAACAGTATTAGAAATAAATAATCATAACATCGTGATTATAATAATCATAATCTGGTGATTATAAAGACAAAGAACTAGAAATTGAGTAACTTCAAGTTCTGTTATTCTATGCGACCACTTGGAGTTTTTATTTGCATTGGCATTTTA